ATCAGTACATGGCTCCTGATCTTCAGATGGACCACGTGTACACACCGGCGGTCATTCCCACAAAGGCTAGTCCTACATTAACAGACGACACTCGTACACAGCTCACATGTACACGTATACTGGTAGATAGTCACACACTGGCTCAGTTGTGCACAGGCACACAATGGAATGAATATCTGTATGCAGGCACGCGTGCATACACAGGCACACCATGGTACACCTGTAATGTATGCAGGCACATACGCAGACACACGAGCACACCATAAAACACATGTGTCTGCAGGCACATATACAGACACACGGGCACACCGTAAAACACCTGTGTACGCAGGGACGCATGCACACACCAGCACACATGTGTACGCAGGGACGCATGCACACACCAGCACACATGTGTACGCAGGGACGCATGCACACACCAGCACACATGTGCACACTGGCCAGCATCAAACACTTAGTCAACCTGCAGCTGAATTCACATCTCTCTGCGAATCACACACTGAAAGCGACCTTCGCACATGGGAAGTCGAGTTCTCACTCCCGAGTCGATCTATCCGAGATAATGGCAGTTACCACTGATGAGTTCTCGTGAAGTTTGGCCGAGATCTTGATATCGGATAAGCTCAGCATGCCATGCTGTCAGAGTTTTTGCAGACTTTGCACTAGTGCTTTTCCCAGATGCCTCCGATGCTATCCCCGGACGCTTCTAATGCTTTCAACGGACACTTTCAAAGCTTTACACGGAGACTTCCAATGATTTCATCGGATGCTCCCAATGCTTTCCCCGTATGCTCCCAATGCTTTCCCTGGATACTTCCAATGCTTTTCCCGGATACTTACAATGCTTTTCCCGGATACTTCCAATCCTTTCCCCGGATGCTTCTGATACCTTCCCTGGAGCAACAAGTTCTCCGGCTCCTCAGCACGCACTCGCCATACACCCTCACTCCACAATCACCGGCGCATCTTCCGCGGGCTCGCTCACAAAGTCCCAGCGGAACTTCTTTGTGAGGTGCGCGCGAAACCGCAGCCCCTTGTCGCGCAGCGCAGCGTCGACGCCGTCATCCGTCTCCAGCGTCGCGAAGAACTCTCGCAGCGTCGTCGTCAGGAAGTTGCCGCGCGTGACGACGTCCACGAAGAAATCCTCCGGGATCTCGCGCACCTGGTGGTAGAGCACGGAGACGAAGTCCGAGAAGAGGCGCGGCCGCGCGGCCGTCGCGTCCGCGCTGCCGCAGAGCAGCGCCACGAGGCTCTTCCACTGCTCGAACGCGTCGTAGACGTTGCCGACGAGGAAACAGACGAACGCAAACTGTAGCTCCGCGAGCACGTCGTCGTCGGCGGCGAAGAGGGAGGCGAGGACGTAGCTGCGGTCCATGCTGCACTTGGTGATGTCGGCCGGCGTCCCGCCCGCCGGGAAGCGTGACGGTCCATGCTGCACTTGGTGATGTCGGCCGGCGTCCCGCCCGCCGGGAAGCTGCGCCGTGCGATCGTCGTGAAGCGGATCTCCGTGCCGGCGCGCGGGACCATCAGCGGGAGGTTGTCGGCGTCGAGCACGACGCGCCGCCGCTGCTCGGCCGTCGTCGTCGCCGCCGCGGGCTCGAGCTGCGTCGCCGAGACGACCGCGCCGGAGAGAGGCTGCAGTCTCGCGACGGCGGCCGGAGTGATGTGGCTGCTAAGGGAGACCCACTTCTTGTAGCTGTCGTACGGGTAGGCGCCGAGGAAGCCGTCCAGATCTCGTAGGTTCTCCCTGAACGTGCGGACTTCCTCTGCAGACGCCGCGTCGCTGCTGATGTCTGCGGACGAGTAGAATAGTCGGTTACACACTTCACGCTCAGCGAGACAGAATAGAAACAGACAGAAAAGAAAAATAAAAAAGACAAATAGACAGAATAGAAGAGAAATGATCGATGAAGAGTACGAATTGTGGTACCCTCTAGGTGTCCTCGTTACAAGCATTGAATACTCTGACTCCCTTATAGGATGCAGTGACAGATTATAAACAGCGAAACAGTAACGTTAGTTAGTATTTGGAAAAAAGCAACCCTGGACAACTGGCCATGGATTTCAACAGAAATTGTGCAAAAAAGTTCCTTTCTAACCCTAATACAATATGTAGTGAAACCTTAATGAGTCGTACACATTATGCTAATTAATGTACCTTCTGAATATTTGTCCCACTTCTTAACCAGGAACTCTTGCCCTTGGAAATTGTGGAAAAAGCCAGTACGAGGCGCAGTTTCTCCTTGCTTGCTTACTGCACTGCATATAAAATATCTGGGGTTGACATACATTCACAGATCTATACTATATATTATTTGAATTAAACTTTCTGTTAAATTAATCTGTACAAATTACTTACTCCTGAAAACGAGTAATCTGTAAAATGACCAGCTAATTTAAATGATGTCTCAGGAGGGGACTCTTCAGCCCGACTCTTTCTCCTTTATTATAGCAAAATACAAGTACAGTGTAGCCCCGTTATAACGTGATGGTTGGGATCCATAAAATCAAGAGATAAAATATCATCGCAAAAAAAGCGGCGTCGCATTAAATCTGGGTTATATATACGTGGTTATATAAGAGCAAAAAAACGGGATCCAACAACTCATAGCGTTATATCCGAATTCGCGTAAAATCGAAGCGCGTAAAATCGGGGTTCCACTGGCACTGTATGATAATACACACAAGATTTGCTAAAATAACCACATGTGTATGATATTTGATTTTAGAACAATAATAGCCAGAGTCCTGTTGGGCAGAAACTTGGGAGAAAACTCTTGAATTTGCAGGTGTTTGACATTTGTTTGTATATTTGGAAACACATTGAATAAATTTTATCCGTAATTATTATTGCTGTTCTAGACCATATTATCATTACAATATCAGCATACCTCCTAAAAGTCAAAAGACTGCAGCAACAAACGACCATTCGTAACACTCACCATTGTAATTGCAGCGACTGGTCACAGTCACCTTGGAGGCATTAACAACGGGGGTGAAGTCAAAGTTTGTCTCTTTTCTCGCTATACAATGATGGACATTTTAATCTTGTAAACTCGAGACTGTTCTAATGCACCAGTCAATGAACCCCCCTCCCCGACCCCCGCGACAGGGCGGGGAATTAACGCTACCACAGCGTTTTAACGTGCATAATAGCTCCCACAGGGATTTAACGTGCATAATAGCTCAGGGTGGCCGGGCAACTAACAAGATGTTTTACCAGCGAGGCCATTTAGCCGTGATTTAACAATGAACAGCTCGCACTGGAAGTGGGGGACTCAGCGTTACAAAGTCTGCAGTAGTTTACCAATTGATACGTTTATTTGAAAAAGGTGTCACATGGCCGAAATTCACCGAATGGCCGAATGGCGAAAGGTGTCACATGGCACATGGAATAAATACTTGGACATTTACGAACCAGAATTTAGTTTTGTTTAGAATCTGAGAAATGATCCCCGGTTATGGGGGCTTTTAACAGACTACCTGCCCCTTATGCGGCGGAAATTGCTGTTTTTAACACTAAGGAAGTGTTAAACTCCCTGCCTTTTTCTGGGGGTCGGGGGGCCGGAGTTTGAATTGACTGTGCATAACCATTGGTTGTTTGAGATTCTATGCAAATTACAAGACAAGAGATGCCAACTGTTTTCCTAACGCTGGGCAGCCATGCACCATAAAATTCTCCAGATAATATTAAATCCAAACTTCATTAAACACCTAAGATAATCTCATCAGACCTGTATGACAGACGCCATTCCAACCAGAAGAAACAGCTGGGAACCTAGATACAATAATGTAACCCAAACCCAAGAGGATAGGGTTACAAAGCCTCCCTATCCTTTTGTGCGGAGGAATGCCCAGAGTGAATCACTCGGGCCGGTTTTGCTGGTGCGTTTTCAGAGACTAGAACTTCCAAACTGGGTTATTTCTCAACACGAACCTTTCTCGCGCTATCTGGGAACTACTATGTATCGCAATACTCTGTATTAACTATATAACCTGTTACAAAAATTTCGAAGTGACGAAGCGAGCGAATATACTGAGGCGCCATTTCTGTTGACCTGTGACGTACGCATTTCCCAATGCGCATTAGCGATCGGCAAACGCAGCGGCCCATCCGATTGGGTCGGTGAATCGCGCTCTTGCAAACCGAAGTACGTCACAGGTCAACCAGAAATGGCGCTCAGTATATTCGCCGCTCGTCACTTCGAATTTTTGTAACAGGTTATATTAGTTTAATACAGAGTATTGCGATACATGGTAAGTTCCAGATAAGCGGAGAAAGGTTTGTGGTTGAGAATAAACCCAGTTTGAAGTTCTAGTCTCTGAAAACGCACCAGCAAACCGGCCGAGTGATTCACTTCGGCATTCTGTGATGTTGGTACACTACTGTGCAGTGTCGCCCTCTATGAACTAACATATGAATGCAGAAAAGGCGCGCAAATCATCATGGCTGATTAAAGTATCGTTTGTCACAAGTCAGTGTCTTTGTTGTCACTCCACTCGTTTATCTTGACAGAAAGATGGTGTCAGAAGTGCTGGAAAACAACAATGAACTTTCGTCCAGTATATGTTTTCGTATTTTCATCGAAGAAAATGGCTTGCGGTGGTGTTCCGTTCCCGGGAAAAATTCGATCTTTCCGATGCAATCAAAATCGTGCTCAAGTTGGGAAACTGTTTGAACAGGTATGGACGAACTATACACTTTGTTCAGGACTTTCGGAGAAAGATGCGAAAATCAGATCCGCAACCTTGTTGACATGCTTCTCGAAGAGCGCTCTGAAGGCCTATAACTCGCTGACTTTTGGGCCGACAGAGGACAAAACTGACATAAACACGGTCATGACGAAAATGAAAACTCTCTGTGTTGGAACGAAGAACGAGACCTACGAACGGTACCTTTTCAACTTCGGGTGCAGAAACCAGGTGAGAAAGTAGATGACTTTTATGCCTGAGTTACTCAGGCTTTCTGAGAACTGTAATTTTGGTACATTGAGAGATTCTCTCATCAGAGATAGGCTGCTCATGGGTATCAGGGATTCGGCTGCTCAGAAAAAGCTGTTGTATGAACAAAACTCACGTTGAAAAGGCACTTCTCGTGTGCCGGTCATATGAAGCCACGGTCTCTAGACTTCAAGAAATCGGGAAAGCTGTGTCCAGTCCCTCCTCAGGCGGCTCCTGGCAGATGAGTGGGTGCAGTCGAGAGGAAAGCCATTCAAGAAGGCAATCGAAGCACATGCCGAAGAAGAAAACACGGTGGTCATCATAGTCATGGTAGTCAGCGCCACGTGGTGATCCTTGCCAGTACTGTGGAAGAGGGCCTCACGATCAAAAGTTTGTCCAGCTAGAGACAAAAACTGTTCAAGTGCGGGTACAAGGGACATTTTGGTCATGTGTGGCAGAAAAGTGTGTACCAGTCTCAAGTCGAATGCGGCATCGGGAGTACGTGAAGTCACTCAATCTGACTCTTTGATCGTGTTGATCAGGACGATGCATTTCTAGGCGTTGGTGGATCAGCAGGGTAATAATTCCGAAATCGATCAGTGGATTGTGAAGCTTGACGTAGATGGCGCTCCGATCAGTTTCTGTGTCGATACCGGTGGCAGATGTAAACGTGATATCTAGGTCGGTTTACGAGAACATTTCAAGCATAGAATGCTGTTCCCTACTCGCAGGACGCTGCAGAAGGTCCTAGCAGGAAGCCATTGCCACTCTCGGTACTTTCCAGTGCACCATTCGACGTAGCAAGGGAGGAAAACCTGTGCAGACAGAAATATACATCATCGAAGGTGGCTGCTCTGCGCTACTAAGCCGCTACACTAGTTTGTGATCGCCGACATAGTGCAACTTAAATGTGGGTAGTATCGGACGACTACCCCCAAGCTTTTCAAGGGGCTGGGGAAATGCCGCATCCATACAAGATCAACATGCGGGAGGGGGCGGAACCATTCGCGGTTCCCGTACCTCGACGTGTAGCTATTCCGTTAATGCCTAAGGTGAAGGAGGAATTGGATCGCTTAGAAACTAGGGTGTCATACGCAAGGTGACACAGCCTACAGACTGGTGTGCGCCTATAGTGGTGGTTCCAAAGCGTAATGGTAGCATCAGGGTCTGCTGTGATTTCACACGAACTCAATGAATCGGTAATACGTGAGCGTCACCAGTTGCCCAACCGTCGACCATGTCCTGGTCAGTATGGCAGGTGCGGAAGTTTTCTCGAAATTGGACGCTAACAGGGGGTTCATTCAGATCAAGTTGGCCGACGAGGAGTCTCAACTTCTTACCGACGTTCATAATCCATTTGTCGTTATGTTACCAGCGTTTGCATTCGGGATAAACTCCGGACGGCAGAACATTATCAGTGTCAAATACAATAGCATTCTACGTGGACTCGACGGCGTTGTGTGCATCATGGATGACTGTGGTAGTGTTTGGAGAAACGGTTTGAAGAACATGACGATCGCCTTGAGAAAGTTCTTCAGAGCTAGCGAAGCGGGGTCACACTTATCGTGGCAAAGTGTGTCTTCGGAGTTTCCAGAATAGGCTTTCGCGGGGTCACGTAGTCGGGCAAAGTGGTATCAGGTAGACCTAGTAAAGTCGAAGCTATCTCCAAGCTGCCTAAGCCACTCAATGTCCAGGATCTGCGAAGATTTATGGGCATGGGTGAACATCTGGGGAAGTTTCTCCCCAAACCTCGCGACGCAGCACGGATCTCTCTCAGACAGGTTGTTATCTGTGAAGATGACTGGTTTGGGGTCCGGTGCAGAAAACGCTTTTCAGAAGATCAAGGAGCTGATCTGTGCTGCGCCAGTGGCTCATGCTCTATGATCCTTCTCGCGAGATACGGCGTCCACTGCTGACAGTTCCTCATATGGACTCGGGGCTGTTATCAGGCAAAAGGACTCGGACGATCAGTGGAAACGCGGTGGCCTTCGCATCTAGATCACTCGCTCCAGCAGAAACCAGATACGCTCAGATCGAGAAGGAAGCGTTGGCTTCAACCTGGGCATGCTGTCGCTTCGAGGACTATCTGATTGGGCTCCGTTTCACGGCTTGAGAGGACCACAAGCGCTCATTTCGCTACTCGGATCGAAATCTCTGAGGAACTGCCGCAGTATACAGCGTAATGCGTATGCGCTCATGCGATTCTCGTATGATTATGCGAGTATGTGCCTGGAAGCAAGCCATATATCGCGGACACTCTTTCGCGTGCGCCGACCACACCTGCCAAGGAAGGCAAGGATTACGATCTTTGTGAAGAGACTAACGCGTATGTCAACCTCAGTGATTGACAACATGGCCGGCTACGGACGTTCGGCTGCGACAGATTTCGGAAATCAGTTGGAGACGAGCTATCCCGGCAACTGCGTACGTACGTGGAAAAGTGTTGGCCTGCCAAATGCCAACTGACTTCTTTGCTCCAGAATACTGGGCTTACCAGGCAGATCTGACCATCGTTCAAGGTCTACTACTGTATCGATCTCGCATCTTCGGCCTCATCCTTTCGTCTGGAGATGTTAGGATCGTCTGCACGAAGGGCATCAAGGGATTGTGAAATGCGCCAGCGGCGCTTACAGTCGGTTGGTGGCCGGCATTTCTCGTCAAATCGAGGACCTGGTGAAAAATTGTCGCGTTTGTAAGCAAAGCTGAGCGAAATCCGATGGAACCGCTTCGTCCCTCAGTTATGGCCTACCAGGCCTTGGCAAAAAGTTGCGACGGACTTGTACGAATTCAGAAAAGATCAGTATTCTGATAGTAGTTGTTACTACTCGCGATTCATAGAGATGGCGCGACTCAAAGACTTGACAGTCAGACTAGCGGTCACCCATGCTCAAATCGTTCTTTGCTAGGCACGGGGTTCCGGAGACTCTGATGAGTGATAATGGTGGCCAGTACACTGCAGATGAGTTTGCTAGATTCGCACGCGACTACGGGTTCCAGCATGTTACCATGAGTCCTCACCGATTCTTTCAGGAAATGGGGAGGTAGAGAGAGCGGTGAAAACGCTCAAAGGTCTGCCCAGTTCGCGGCTGGCAGATCGCTACGCGGCGTTGCTGTGCTATCGTACACACCTCTAGCTTGCGGCGTTTAGCCAGCTGAACTCTTGTACAATCGTCGTATGGACAAAATTCCTATGGTTCCTGAGAAGCTGGCTACCAGCTGTTCTGATCCCGTTGTTCTCCGTGGAAAGGAAGAGCATATCCGGATGCCGGTCGAAAATCAACTTCGACAGGTCTCATCGTGCTAGAGATCTCCTTCGTTGGAAGAAGGCCAAGAAGTCTACCTGCCAGGCCGTCAGGAGACGGGAGTCTCGACAACAAGGTGCATGATCGGTCTTACGTGGTGAACACACCTACAGGCTATTCCAGGAGAAATCGAGTCCAGATTAATAAGCTAACAGAGACAGACTCCCGCCGACTCTCCGGCTCCAAGGTTGGAATCGCCTCCAGCATGGGAGAGGAAACCTGCTAGTGGGCTCTAGTGTCGCAAGGGAGCCTCCCACATATGTTACAAGGTCTGGCCGTGTATCAAAGCCAAACCCAAGATATGCAGACACCTAAACTTTTGCGTTTTGGGTCTGCATTGCAAGCTTAGTATGAAGTGTAGGCGGATCGCTGCTCATTGCTTGCAGAGTCACAACGCGTGACTCTAGTGTTATATAGATTCAAGGCAGGACAGGTTTACTAGCCTTTTATCAGAGTTCAGGGCAGTTATATTTTGCCAGGTTTACATTAGTCCTCGGGTTTTGGACTTATTATTCTACTCTTAGCCTCACTTAGTACATACGTTGCTAAGAACTGAACTAACACCAATTATATGAGGCTTGTTTGTTTTCACAGATTCATTCATTATGAGCTCAAAAATGAGTGAGACACATTTAGTTGAAAAGTTAACAGTTGGTTTATTCGGAAGTATATATGTGATTCATCGACAGATTTCAATACAGTCTCCATTCATCTCAAGACTCAGTGGACTGTCTATCAATCTTAAAGAAAGGGAGATGTGATGTTGTACACTAGGTGGCAGTGTTCGCCCTCTATGAACTAACATATGAATGCATGAAAAGGGCGCGCAAATCATCATGGCTGAATAAAGTATCGTTTGTCACAAGTCAGTGTCTTTGTTGTCACTCCACTCGTTTATCTTGACAGAAGACATTGCCTCTCCGCACAAAAGGATAGGGAGGCTTTGTAACCCTATCCTCTTGGGTTTGGGTTACATTATTGTATCTACTGGGAACCCAAATTTCTTAGGAAATGTTTTTGTTGCGTCCAACTCAAAATATTCTCCAATTTTTTTACGGTTGTGATTCGCAATTAAATCATGTTGCGCGACTGTCGCTGGAAATCAAAAACGATTCTAAATATTTATCTTACCTATAGTACACAAAATGTAAACCTGGAGGAATCATCTTTACGCCTTTAAACTTGTCACCGGTGTTCCAGCAGTTACAGTCGATTCCAAACTCTGTTCCTGGCGGTACATCTAACAACATAAAAACTGCACCATCTTCTAGCAATTTTCTAGCCCTATCTTGGCTCATAGGCTGGTTTGCATCTAACTTTGAGGATCCTCTTTCCATGACTGCCTTTTGTATCAGCTATCAATTGTTACAACTACACAAACAATCAGCAAAACAACAAATTCGTCATAGCTTCAATAAACTTCAAGCCCACTTATTCTAAGCCCCCAACATTCAAGATATTATTATAGAGATCACTGCTCCAGCCGTGTGGGGGTGCATCCATGCTCGCATGCGCACCATCTACCGGCGTTTATTAGCAAATGTTTGGACGAAACCTAAATTAGTTTCATATACCTGTTATATTATTAATATAATAACAATAGTGTAATAGTGTATCATATATTTATATATCGTTTAATTAATGATATATCCGTTAACAGAAACATTAACTATTAGTATATTTTTGAATGAATTTAGTTTTATATATTAGGCCTACGTGTGATGAAATCTTGCTGACTGCACTTGAGGTAATTTGTGTGGTAATGTGGGCCACTGAATTTGTGTTTAAATTTTGAATTTGTGTCTCATCATTCAAGATGTATTTGTGTTGCTACATCTGATCGCTGAGAAAGCAATTACTCAACGCAGTAGTTGGATATGAGAAATACATCACGATGTCACTGTTTGTTTAATAATGATAGGGTGCACAACTTTTCCAAAGCAACATATTAAATGTAGGCAATGGGTGGCGATGTGTCCCAAAAGCCAGATGAGAATATATATCCTAATTTCTTCAAATGAATAAAATAGTATTTTGTTGAATTTATACTATTGATTCAGACAATACACGCCTACTAGTTAATTTAATAAACAAACCAGTGCATAGTCGCACCAAATCTCCGTGTAGCATAGCAGGAAACCTGCGCTCGCGCACGCCCAGTATTCTGGTACAGAGACAGATTGAAGGAAATTATCCGTGAAAAGACACAACGAGTGACAAAAAACAAAATAATTAATTCTATTTAGTTTTTTAATCAATCTTTTATTTATTAGCTTGGTAATATCAGTATAGTTTCCATGATATGTAAATCCGTCTAATGCGTTTTGCATCATTAATTATTATTATACGACGTGAATGCTATACGTTCGTTGTCTGAAATCGTCTTTCCTTGATTAAACCTTATATATAAAAAGTTTATACGTGTACCTTGATACGGCACGATGCTAGTACTAACACGTCCGCACACGCACGTACGTACGCATGTACGCAGGCACGTAGGTGTGTGTGTGTGTGTGTGTGTGTGTGTGTGTGTGTGTGTGTTGTGTGTGCGTGTGTGTGCGTGTGTGTGTGTGCGTGCGTGTGTGCGTGAGTGTGCGTGTGTGTGTGTGCGGCGCGCGCAGCGGCGCCGGTGTGGTGTGTGGGTGTGTGTGTGTGTGCGTGTGCGTGTGTGTGTGTGTGTGCGTGTGCGTGTGCGTGTGCGCGCGCTGTGTGTGTGCATGGTATGTTATATCGTTCCTGAACTAAAGTATTCCAGAATCCACTGATTACTATGATGAAACGAATTTCTCTAGTACGTAATAGAGTGTCATATATGGGTGATTATTTGACATCTGTCATCCTGTTATATGTCATAGAAATATATCACTATTCAACGTCTCTTACGAGCATTACTTGTGTCTAATCTAATAAGATGCTCACATCAGTTGCGTATTATAACTGAATCTACACTAAAACATATGGTGAAATCAAAATATGCCATAACGCGCGCATATGCTAATTATACACATTTATAACGACGTGGCAATAGCGTCACTATCGTCATCAGAATCACCGGCGTAAACATCATCACCGTCAATATATTTCTGTCACCAGTGTCACGCGTTTTAACCGTGAGCGCTTTTCGCCCGTTTGTTAATTGTACGATGCTTCGTAATGGCTTAATTAACAATACTACGATAGCTACAATAAATGAAACGTATAGCGAGGATGTTATGTAGTCGCTTGTCTTTTTTTACAACTACGGCATAGATATGTGCCAGTTTTACAACCGACTTGTGCGTTCAGAATCAAATCACGATCAAAAATAGATATCAGGCGTTTATGAAATCGACATCATGGACAAGAGAATTTGACAAGACAAGACAAGACAAGAATTTCAGGGATCCGAAGAATCATCTTATGGCTATGGGGCACGGCTCATGCACGGGCCGCAATAAAAGCTGCATGATGCTGCACATGCAATATTCCTGAATATGTGTCGCTTGCGCCTTTTTGTGCACGGGCAACTGCAGCTATGGAGGTTAATAAAGCTGATCGTGTAATCGCAAAGCAAGGCAACTATGCCAAAGGTCTGTCGCTTCTCTCTCAATGCAATCTCGTTGTCGTCTGACGATGCAGCTAAGGTCAAGGAAACCAGCGAGAGCGCCA